AAACAACATTTAAACGGAAACAGGCTGTTCATCAAAAGTTTAGGACCACATGCCAAGAGTTCATGATCAAGAGTTCAGGCTAGTGGTGTTAATTGTTTGGAAGATACTGGGGATCATATTATTGGTTGGGTTTTCTCCTAAATACTGTAGTGCCTGTACAAAGAGATTACACTATAGCTTTTAGAAAAAAAACTGGTGTATGATAGTTTCGTCAGTTTTGAGAGGCTCTGAGGTTATAGGGTGATAAAAAGAAACCTGTAAATATGACTTTCTTGCGAAGTCTTGCTGAGCTTGCTCTGCATTATTTTAGGCAACTAAAACTTCAGTTATGAGTTAAACACCTCTGGGATCGCTAAACCCCACAGGAAGAAGCCACAGTGCTTCCCTCTTTAACCATGACCAACACTTCCTGTAGAGGTAAGCACTGCTCATCCTCTCCACAGAGCCACAGTGACGTCTCCAGCTGTGACCAGCGTCCAAACAAAAAAGTCCCGAGCAGAGTTACAGCAGTTTCCACAATCAGCAGCTTAGCAGCACATCTGGTCACAATGACCTACAGTGAGTGACTTATCCGGCAATAATACACAGTTACTGTTACATGTTGCAAAATACTTACATGAGAAAAAACCCATTGTTTCTTTGGTTTGGAAACCTTTACATGTTTTTTAACCTATTTTTAACAAAAAATAAAAATATAAAAAAATATAATGGCAAACAAGGAAATGGTTCTACGTGTGAAATATACACTTTTACGTCATGGGTTTTAATTTAATTACTAACTTTCATGTGCTCATTTTAATACATACACTATATACAACATAGAATAGTATTTTAAATATCACTAAGACTTGCTGTTGCTCTTCTTGTAGGCAAATATAGGTCTATGACACTGTAGGTTTAGGATATTACGATCAGATGGTTATGAGTCACTGAATGTCTGGAAAAAGATCACAGACGGTGCTCCTTTCCCAGGCCCGAGGCCTCAAAAGTAGTATACATGGCAGTATGGGCGGAGATTGTAACAGCAGTTACAAGTGGAAAGTTAAAGAGATGAGAATTGCTGCAAAGATTCAGGAATGACTGCAACAATAAACTTGTTATCAAAGAGAGTCACATGCACTTAAAAAAGCACCAATTAGCCAATGGTATTGTTGCTTTTCTTTACAACTATGCAGCTGGAATGTGGACACTGCTGTTCCATGTATCAAGTACATCAAGCAACACTTCTTTTTATTTGCTTTTGATTTACTTGGGATGAATCTAGAGTCCGAAAGTGGATCAAGACCCACAAGTTGAGCAACTTAAAAGATAAATTTTAGATAAACATGTTAATTTGGGAACTGAAAGTACACTGACACTGAAAGCAGCAAACGTTAAACTGCAGGGTTTCATAGAAACAAACATAAGATCCTATCACTAAAATTAAGCAACATTGCACGACACC